AAACGCAAATACAATCAATTAGTAAAGTAAAATGCACTGTCAGGTTTCAAAACGGAAAATAAATAAATAAAACATGAAATTAACGCTAGTAAACGGCCTATCTATTTACTATTGAAAGAGGAAAGGTAAATAGTAAATAGAGGAAATAGTAAATAGATAGGCCGTTTACCGTTTACTAGCGTTAATTTCATGTCTTACTTATTTATTTTCCGTTTTGAAACCTGACAGTGCATTTTACTTTACTAATTGATTGTATTTGTGTTTCTAGGACTAAACTTTTTCTGAACAGAATTTTGTGTTATGAACTGACGATGGAGCTGGACTCCGAAACGTTTTATCTTATAAAGATATGATGAATTTTTGGGGTATTGTCTTTGCTTTTAAATTCCTGATTACACGACAATTCTTTACCTCTCATACTTAATACCTAAATAATACATCAAACACAAATTAACTGGTTTACTCATATCCACATTCGAATGGAGAATCAGGTTGTTCTTTATTTATACATAGGCAAAAATTTTCGACTCTCTCGACCTTCATTTATTATTCACATTAAGTTATTTTTTCAACAATATACTTGCCTGTATTTTCTTGCATTATTACCTGTCATTTACAGATATAAATTGAATATTATAACCTTCCACAGTTCTCACAATACTGAAATATCTGCGGATATTTACTGAATACTGAAATATCCCAATACGCAATTTGCAGATATTTATCTTGCTATCTGATTCCTCACTTCCCCATGCCTGTTGCAACGTATCTGCGTCAGCGTTTGTTTACGCAAAAAACTCCAATTAAGCGTTTTAATCCTTAACCCCCTGCAGGAGACTCCGATGCCCGGGTTCTTATCACTGGTTGTTGCAACAAATTGACAGATCTGATCTGCAGCGAAATAAGAGTTGGGATTAGCCAGAATTCGACTCACAACAGAATAAGCAAAAAGAAAATTCTTCTCTGTTAATGAGAAGATCCACAGAAACCGAACATTTCTGCTCGACGTGATTCGTAGAAAATATAATCAGCTTTGGGATTCAAATGGACACTAATGATTTTTCATATAAAAAGTTCATACATACTAAGCGATTATGCATGAATTTAAAAAGCGTTTTTCGTTCAGGAAACATCATTAAGATGGAGACATTTATCATTTAACAAGACATAAAAACTAATTAAAACCACGCAGAAAAAGAGTAGAAGCTGCTCACCAATGGAGATAAAATCAGCTATGACCGCTTCGAAACGTGATGCTCTTTTATAATTCAACGGGAGGCAACGGAAATTTAACAAGACTCAAGTGAAGTGGTAACTTATGATCAAGGAGAGAAAGAGCATGAAAATAATTAAGAATTAATGAAGCTCGAAACACAATCACGCGCTGTGGAGAAACGTTACAAGCGAAAGTTAAAGTTACGTTCCAAGGAAATCGAAACTTTAGGAAATTTCATCTGTCCAAAAAGTGACCAATATTGCGTCCCTGAGCCATTCCTATCAACTACACTCGAGTCACAAATTCAAGCAATATATTACTGTGTTAATTGCGTTTATTCCATTTGGCTGTTTCACATTTCGAAATACAAACAATATAGGTAGATTTTTATCCGTGATGTAAGTATACATCAAATACATACATTGTGCGTCGAGTAAATTTCTGACAAGTTGATAGGGAATTGATACGATCCGATGTAAACTGCTGATTGATTTTCTCTCGATACACTTCATAAAATTCATGACTAATTCGGTAGCTATATGCCGGAATCTTGGTACCTGCTTAAAAATTTTTTTCACGTTTTGTTACAATATTGAGTTAATTATGCAAGTCAAATGGGAACGAGATTGCTCAACGGATTTTAATGTTAATTGGATGAATATTTTTTTCTAGAAATCATCAACAAGCATTCAAAGAAACACAATTAAATTCTTCATATACAATTGAAATGTGTTGCTCGCAAATAAAACGAAAGACAGAAAAAATGAATTTTTTTTAAAGAGTTGTGACATGTTTTGAAGAAACTCCACATAATTTAGAAAAATCATGGTAAAAAAAACATAGTTCATCGTGATATGGAAAATGGAGCTTTGTAATTTCAGAAGCAATATAAAGCAGTTGGCGCGTTAGGCCTTTTTTATGGGGCTTCAGGTCACCTGAAATATTCTTAAGGCCCAAATAAACAATTTATATTTCTTTCTTAAAATAATTTTTTTAACTGCCTACAAATTCAATATAATGTGGCCTGACTCATAGTCTAAATAAATAATCATACAACCAGTCGTTATTAACTTGAATGTGATTGATTGAATGTGATTAACTTTGCACCCTTGTCTTTAAAACCTAGTGACGGTCCTGAAAACGCGGCCTCTCTCACGGCCGGTCTCGCGGCCGTGATTCCAAATTCAGTGAGCGTGGAATATCTCGCAAAATACTGAACGTAGCTTGATGAATATTTTGAAAAATTGTCACGAGCTAAACATCACCGTTAGGCTCTAATGATTATGTGTACCAAGTTTCATCAAGCTACGTTCAGTATTTTGCGAGATATTCCACGCTCACTGAATTTGGAATCACGGCCGCGAGACCGGCCGTGAGAGAGGCCGCGTTTTTTGTCCGAGACGTGTTCCTGAGTGGAACTCATCAGGGTTGCCAGATAAACGAAATAATGGCTAAGTCCGCGAACAAAAAAGGCCAAAAAAGGCCTATAACTTAATAAATATTAATATATTTGTAGGTTCCGGTGTAAGAATTCCATTTTTTTTTGCAGTTTATAAATTTTAATTAGGAAGTACCCATATCATAAATTTTAGTCAGCCAACGCCATTCAAGTTACCCAAAACTTGTTAGTCACGTGAATAAATTAAAAAAGGTGCTTCGGCTACGTTTAAATCTACGTTCACTGAACTCATCGAAGTGTAGATGAGTTCGAGGTGAAATGGATGAAGGTAGATGAGTTCAAACAGGGGGGATGGGAGTGGCAATGCTGACGGATGAGTATATCGAGTAGTCCAGATTGGCAAAATTAGTAGAAAAGATAACTTAGACGGCTGCCTACTTTAATAAACATATATTTCATATATTAGTGAAATTGATAGGGATATGGGAAGTGTTCGGCTGATAAATGGTGACAGGGCTTCGGGACTGGCTCCGAACTGCCTGACGCCTGTGTATGCGGAGCAGCCATCAGAGCGACTGCGAGAGCCTGCGGGTCGTCACTTCAGTTGACCATCAGCACTGAACGTGGGAGGTTGCGCCATTGAGTGCGCGCAATTGTTTAGCAAAGTTAAAGGGAATAGAAGCTAAAGTTTAACGTGGTGTACCGGTTCTAAATACATTATTTTACGTTATTATTCAGAAGTAAAATATTGTGCGTCGTATTATTTAAGACTTTTTGGCAGTGAATGTCATCACATTAGACTAGATTAATTAAATTGAGCCCCCGTTCTAGACGCATTCATCGCCAGTTTTTTCCTCTGCTGCCTGACCGACAGGGCGAGGTTGTTCATTGGAAACACTCGTTATCGCAAGAATTTCATCTCCTCTTAATTTTTTATGGGCCATGACGACCCAGAGCTACATTGTTGAAGAATGTTGCATAAAAGATCTTATTTTAAGCCAAGAAAACATGATATGGGTTGAGAAATGTGGTACAGGGCTAAATCTTTTGTTGCGTATCTTGGGACGTCAGCAATAAATTACTTTTCGCATGACATTCAGTTGTGGGCAGGCCTAAAGCTAAGGCAGCGCAAGCCGGTGAATTTTTAGCATTAAAGACCTCTTTCATTGTGATATTTAGCGAAACATTAAAAATCGCTTGTATCTAAATTTACAGTTAATATTTTTATTAAAATATTCATATTATTATTTTAATATTAAAATGTGTTACTGTTATGTATTATTTATTTCATTTATTTACGCCTTTTTTTCCAGTAGCACTAATTAGAGGACATTCTAAATAACTTCAAAAATCACAATTTTAATGAAAAATTAGAACATTACTCAAAGTTAGTTACAAGAATATAGGTAAAAAGTTCATGAATATTTCGTCAAAATCGGGTTTTTACCTTGGCATAAATGTATTCAGTATAAAATGAAATAAACATAACTGCAATAGTTAATAGTTATAGTTTTCTACTAATTTGTTCGTCCCGAGATTTCGCAAGGGCCAAATTCCCGATCTTTATCAAGGGGATTCAAAGTATAAATATTATGGCAACTTTAGACCCCCTCTGTGATCGGCAGAATTTTTAAGAACAGAATCAGGAGATTGGCCAGTATGATTGCTATGTAGCAAATCATGTTAGACTGTGCGGCCACAATAGGATCATGCTTGTTTGTTACCATGACATTTATTTGGTACTAATGATACATGCAAAATACAAATAATACGTTTTGTAGATAATTTGATATTCTACTAAATTAAAAATTAAAAAGGTCCAAGCAAACTTTTTTACACCATTCAATCACTAAAAGCTCTGAATACTTGGACTGTAAAACTCGTTGACATGAATTATGACGCTCACTGTAAATAATCGCAAAAAGCAGGCCAATCTTTAACTTGTAGTCTAATATTTTCTTAAAAAAGGATATAAAGACAATAAAGTATCTCACTTTAGAAGGATATTGTTAACGCTGGTTTATTTAATTTCTAATGAATAAATACGATCCAAATAGCCAAAAGCTGCAGAATTTAAATTCGGGAGACGTAATTATACTACTGATACCACAAATCTACGGGACTTTGCCGCCAAAAATATCCTCCAGCAATCAAGTTCCCTATATGACAATATGACACTGACGCTGGTGTCTTGAGGGCTTGGTATTATAACTTGATAAAACTTTAATTGAATGATGAATTAAACTTTACTGAGCTCAAACTCACTAGTGGAGTATTGCATAAATCACTTGGTAGTAACGAAAACTTCAACATTAAATATTAAACATCAAGTTTGATACTAAAATAACTTTATTCAATAACTGTTGCATTTTGTGCAGTGAAAATTTAGGAGAGAATTTAGATGCCAGTGCGCGTCGCGGCATCGCCGTATAATGGATACGATACTGGTAGCCCGCACGGCGGCTGTACTGCTGCTGTACTGCACAGCTACTGCAGCCCTCGCTATACTTAAAGGTAATTAACTGATGAGATCTTACTAGTGAGATGTGATAATAGTTACGATGCAAGGTGATTATCATTACCTATTAAAAAATTTTTGGGTTTGCCGACGTTCAAATGTGTTATTTTTGCACAAAATATTGGAACATTATTGGATTGGTAGATATTATTGTTGTCATGTCTATAACCAAATTTGTTTGTCAATTATCAATGTGTAAAATAATTACAAATAAAGCAGAAAATGAATCTTACAATACATGGATGAAAATGCAAAATAATTGGTTGATTACATTTCTAAATAAATTAAAACCAGAATAGCCGAGCTCATTTAATACATTAATGTGTATACGTTTGTTTTGTTGCTAATTTACGTCGTTATCCCCGTTATGTTATTATGACTTTAATTAGCTTGCAATCATTTCCTAATCATCCATCCATTGTTTTCTTACATGTATTTCTTTTATTATTAATCGTAATGTCTTAATTTTGCTGTTTCTCCTGGCCTTATTGAATACATTTGATGACTTTTTGTGGTGTATTGTCCTTCTATAATCTATATAATTCAAATAATGTCGAAGCTGCCTTAATTATTACGCACAAAAATGAATTTATTCCATGAATGAAAAACCAGTTGAGCATTTGTTATGCCATCTTCGCATGAATTGCAGAAGAATCTTCTTAAATCTGATTCACTTTGTGTCTTAACTGTTGAGGCTGTGTGACCTCGTAAAGATCCTGTAGAAGTTACCTATCTATATATTATGAGCAAGCAATATATTTATGTATATTACATGCTCCCTTATGTTGGGCCATGATTCTTCACACCTCTATGATTTCCGTGTGTACTCATTATAATATGAAAAATAACAGTACCGATTGCGATTAGTATTGTGCTGGAGCACTAGAAGCCTACCGAGCAGCCAAGTGTTTCGCTTATTTCGTTATGAACTATTACTGTTCCGGTAACCTTGTAGAAAGGTTTAGCCCGTGCAAGTGCTAATCACGATTCAGATTACGACAGAAATTTTATTCAGTGGTTCTGCATACTCAAGTTTTGCAAATCAGAATATTGGGAGGAAGTTTCATTAGTTCAATGTCTTACATATTACATTGTTTTTAGAGTCAGCTTATTTTTAACTCTTTCTTTTATTTTTCGTATGCTAAAATCTACCGAAATTAGATTCCATACTACACTTCCCACCAGACAAACGACGTTGAATCAACGTTGAAATAAACGTAGTTTGGTTGAATCAACGTTAGTTAAACAATGTTTCAATGTCGTTTTTCTGGAGAATCTTCACTCACTCCTCTTCCCAGTTGCTGAATCGAATGCCAATTCCAGACACTCTACAAAATTAATATTACAGACTCTGTAGCAATAATTACCACCCTTGCTGCAATCAATAAGTAAACGAAATTTTCAAGTCGCGAATTTCACTGCCTCAATTTCAGACTCTTCATCGCACGTGATCACGGCTGTTGCCGGCAGCCCGACAGTCCTGCCGTGCCCCACCGAGCCTCTCAGCCGCCCTCGAGGCTCCCACCACCAAGAGTCCCACAACCTCATCCTCGTCTTCAGAGACGGCCTCAGCGCCCCTGTCTACAGGTTAGACCCTTACAGGTGCTTGAATTAAGGGGAAAAAATAATTCTGACTTACGTGCTTTGGATAAAAATTGCATCGCTACGGGTGATGTTTGAAAAAAATAATAAACGTAATCACATTTCTTTCATTCAACGAAAAATTTTTGAGGCTCGTATCAAGCAAACAATTATACCAGGATTCAAAACTTGAAAATAAATTTAATCAAATGAAAATGAATCAAACTTTGAGTATTAATTATAGTTTTGATAAGAACACAAAGAATTTATGAATATCCTCACACTTTGAACTGTCTAACCCCAGCTGGGACTCCCGTTCGTCGAATGGACAAGATTCCGACCGATGTTCCAAGTGTCCAAGCGAGGAACTGAAAAATCGGGCATATTTTTGGGACAAAGATGTGGACTTGTCACGCGAACAAGTATTTGCGATGTCGGAACATGTGTCTGGTTGGCAACATCATGTTTTCCAGGCAAATTTCGTGTCTAGCCCCGAGCCGCAAAGTTTTCCCAGCAATAGTACTCTGCCGAGAGACGATTTGCATAACGGCTCTGAAACAGGTGTGTTCCACTTGTCAAATGCCCTCGCTTAATTCGAACAAATTATCCATTAGCATGTAGCTGGCCATTCCTGTTAAGCTGTTCGTATTGCGGCTTCATTAATTTTTCGATAATGCTTTTGCCATCATGATTCGTTAAATTAGATAGAATTTTTTTCAGAAATGGAACCCTGGCGCCCAAGTGAAACGGGGTTAGTGTTGGACCCTTTACAGCTGTCAGACGCAGGGGACTATATCTGCAGAGTTGACTTCCCAAGGTCTCCAACCCGCAATACATTTGTCCAGCTCAGGGTTATTGGTGAGGAATATTGTCTCTTCTCATTAAAGCACAAAATATTAGCACATTAACAAATTATTTACATTAGCAAGGTATTTAAGTATAAAGTACCGCAACAAGTAAAGTTGATAACGACTGATCGTTAGAGACGACTTCCGCCACATAATTTATGACTGTAATCGACATGGAAAGGAAATTTTCGGGTTTTGCTGTGATTTTGTACTATGATTAAGAAATACCAGGAGAAAAAATGTCATAATATTAAATTTGCTTTTCCGATGATTTTTCGTACATTTGGTGGCGTCACTTTGGCCTCGAATTGGTATGGGTTTATTTTACCGATGTAAGATGTGAAAACTCTTATGGCGACAAGATTAAAAATATCCTACGGTGTAATTTCTGGCTGTTCTTTCAAAAACAGTTTCACCCGTACCTCTCGTTTCATGTCATTATCGTTTCCAGCACCATTTAAACATTTACTGAAGATGGTATGGTAACATAATATGTTCTTATCATGTCAGTCATTTACATATTATCTTCTTTTCAGAACCCATGACAAGCATTGCAGTGAAGGGCTTTGTTACTAACATACTTCGCGACGTCTCCATCACTTCAACGATTACGCAAAATTCCACAAAAACCAAGCAGTTGCCATATGTTTCCAATGGAGCTGGAAGCCTACTTAAACCTGCCTTTCCTGAGGGTATCAAAATATTGAACAAATCCGCTTCTTCCTCATTCAATCCATCTGAAACTGCAAATAATTTTCAATTGGGTTCACGCGTGGATAATGAAGTCAGTGTGAGATCATCCGACCGAAAGCATGAAAGTCAAGCAAAAAAGTCAACAGGCTCTCAAAAAATTCCTTCTCCGACGGTCCTTGGCCCTTATCCCGTGGGGACAGAACTATTGCTGCAGTGCGAGGTCATTCATGGTAAGTCTGATCGCAATTATCCCATGTTGCTTCATTCATATCGTTTGCTGATAGCGGAACCAACGAAGATATCGTTCACTGGAAATTTTCCAGATAATTTTTCACCTACAGGTTTAAAAACGCATTTTCAGCACCAGAGGCGATCAAAATTGTTTCCACATTTGTTTTGCAAAAAAATTCTCTAAACAATGATTCCTTACCGTGCTTTCAAAATTTCTTGCGTACGTGACTCACCTACCTCTTGAATAAAATGGACTATATATATTGTTAACATCAGCAATATGAGGAAAAATAGTTACTTCTATCTCTACTAATGGATACACTCAATTACCCCAACGAAGGATCCCCGCCTCCCGTGCTGCGTTGGGAGGACGACAAAGGCTCTCTTATCGCGGCTTCTGCGTTAACGTCAGGCCAGCGGCGTTCCAGCATCAGTCTGAGGCTAGCCAGCATCAGCCTGTCTGACGTGGGCGCCTATATCACTTGTGTCGCACAAAACTCCCCTCTCACTCCCGTTCTCAGAGAAACCGTCATCATCGACGTTGCTGGTTCGGGAATATGTTATAATTAGACTATACATTTATGCATTTCATTTGTGCGTGATAATAAGAAATGTGAAAATTTCATGAATATTAGTTTGCTAGTAACAGTTAAAACTAATTTTTTGTAGGCCATTCATTCTTATGTTGATATTTCGAACGAGGATTATGTCATAAATCGATTTAAAATGTTTTTGTAGGCACGGAAGACTGCCGTATAATAAGGATGAGATTGATTACCTTGCGTACTACGTAATTGTTAAAAAACATATCACAATTACATACGTTATAATGAAATATTAAATATTGTCATTCAATCATCCGCGTTATCAATATTGTTAATTGTTGTATTTTTCTTCCGCTAGTCTCTACGACGAGTATCAGAATTCTGGCGGCAAAAGAAAAATACATTTCGGCTAACGCTTCCAAAGCCTCAACATCCGTTAAATCGAACCCAGAAAAATTTGTTCATCCCCTCGCTATGTCGGCCCCCAAGGTGGCTAGCGTTACGCGTGATTTGGACCTGACAACCCTGGCTACGGTCCGTATAAATGAGACGTCACCACCCGTCGTTGTGTTCGAAGTTGACGAAGCTGACGAATTTATTCTGATGTGTGAGACTGCAGGAAGCAGACCTGCAAGCCCTCTTCTGTGGACCCATGGAAAGGGCTCGCCGATAGACGACAAGTTCATTACAGTAAGAAAATATACTGGTTTTTATTTCCGTTCATATATCAACGGTTTGATGTAAATGTAAGTGGCAAAGGGAGTTAGGTTCCTAATCTATACAAATACAAAGTTAATAGTGTATGAAATAAAATCTTGCTTGAAATCTAGTATAAATAACGTTCTGTGAATCTATGCAGCATCATGATTTTTTATGTCCTTACCTTAGTACTTCCAAATCATTCGAAACCGGTGACTTGTGTTCTCAATTATGCTCTCATTTATATTTTTGTTAAATTGTAAAAATCTTACAATTTCTCAGGTGACTCACCTACCTGGTAACTCTCCCAGTTTGACAATAACGAAATCTGTTCTACGCATGCGCGCTACAGCGTTGATGCACGGCGAACTCCTACATTGCAGCACGGTTGTCGCTTCAATTGAACAGCCGGCGCTTCATCCTAACCTCACCGCACGAATCCGCCTCTCAGTCAGCTACGCTCCTGTTGTAAATCTGACAAGCTATTCGCCACTCACATCCCTCTCTGAGAATTCTTCTCTGAGTCTCCATTGCGCCGTCACTGCTCATCCGCCCATAAACGGCCACATCACTCTTTTCAGGAACAATGAAGTAGTACACAAGTGGCTATCATCTGGTGTGAACGCAACGGAGAACAAAACCGTAACTATACGAGTGACAGGTGAAGAGTCATCAGGTTACTACAGCTGTTCTGCACGCAATAGTGTATCCAACACAATCTCTGCCCCTCTACACGTCAGAGTGAATTATGCTCCCCGTTGTGCTGGTAGCCCACACGCATCGTACAGCACACGAGGCGGCGAACCTCTCCTGGTGACGTGCGCTGTAGCTTCGCAACCTCGGCCTTCTGTCTTCCGATGGTACGTCATACCTCCAAACGGGTCAGAACCTGTTGAAGTGAACCCTTCGTCTCACAGCGATTTGGGGCGTAGTAGCACGATTCAATTTGTTGCTCCTCTTCATCCTCCATACCCTAAACTACACTGCTTTGCTGACAACAGTGTTGGGCGTATGGCAGAGCCTTGCGTCATTGACATAGTGCCAGCGGAACAGCCAGACCCGGTACAAAGCTGCCATGTAGGGCCGTACGTTGTTGCAGACAACGAAGAAACATCCATATCCGTAGTGTGTGTTGCGGGCAGAGACGGTGGTCTCAATCAGTCATTCACTTTAGAGGTTCGTCCCACGAGAAACCCACTTGCTCGGCCTCCCAAAGCCCTTTACCATCGCCCGAAGCCTAATTTTGACGTAGAAGGTCTTTCACCAAACGAAGAGTATATTTTCACAGTCACAGCGTCAAATGCAAGGGGTTTGAGCGCTCCTTTCATACTTAGGTATATTGTTCCTCTAAATGAAGTTCGGGCTTTTCCTTCCGTTATTCTCCATGAAGAAATCACTCCTGTGCTCTTGATTACTTTTGGAGCCATGGCAACTGTCATTACTTGTAGCATTGTTGCTTTGCTGGCGCGATGGTTCTGCTTTAAAAATAAATCCTGCCAAGTCAGGCATCCCCGTCAAAGAGCAAGTTTTACTCCTTCGAATGCCGATTATACAAGACTGCAGCAGTACAGTAACGGCAGCTTAGCTCGCGGTGGCAACACCAAGATGCCAATTCTTGAAACGAGTATTTCTCATTCACGGGGGATGAAATCCTGCTGTTACGCTGACGCCAGCAGCTGCAGCGGTGACAGTATCTCCCGCAGCAGCTGCCGAAGTACCACAGACACTCTCCTCTGGACGTTGCCTTCTGACCCTGAATCAAATCTCACCTTCAGGAACTCTGGGTGCTACCATATTGCAAATCTGACACCACCAGACGGCGTTACTTTGCATCACGCTTCAAGATACGTCTACCCTCAGCGCCGAGACGTATTGGTCACAGAAGTTCATGCCCTTGACTCCCCCCGATCACTTTCAAGATCATCAGCTTATTCCACAATCTTTAAATCTTCCTCTGATGACTGCAACAAATCTGATGCAGATAGATTTCTAGATGAAATCGATAACCAATCTTTCAAAACCAGAAGATGCACAATCAGTGCTAACTCTTTTAATCAAAAGTGCGCATGTCAGACTCACAGTCGCCCAACCACCGTTTCTCTGCCTCAGCGAGGATCAAGACTTCCCGTTGAAGAAGAGTCTTGTCACACCGGATTGTTTCGACCCAATTTCTGCGATGCGGCAGAACCCAGTTCGGGAGAACATCATTTTCTATCGCAATCATCGGGTATGGAGCAAGAAGCAACATCGACAGAAAGCGATTGTAATACTGACAGCTCAAATTCCCCTCTTCTTCGAGAAATTTCAGTCAATCCATCAAATATCATAGAACAGACAGTTGGTATCGAGCAAGACTCGTGCGACTATAACGACAAGAGTCCAAATTTTGAAACTGCTGATTCACTGGTGCTAACTGGAAAAGATGAATGGAATCCAGAAGAACTATCATCTGATCCTAATAACTCTGAATCGTCATCAGAACAGTCCAGTAGACCTCCATCATCAGTGTCAATGGCAACGGTGGCTCTCAATCCTAACTTCGATCTCGACCAACAGTTATCGGAGAGTGATTCCTGAAACCACAAGAAATTGCTTCAACATTGCAGTCGCAAGGAATCAAAACGTTCTCTTTTCGCTATATCTTCGATCTTTAACGGCATTTTTTGTTTAAGGAACGCCATATCAAGTTATGTCTGCTGTCTGAGCATTTTTAACAATCAAACTAAAATATTTTTAGAAACTTCAAGCCAAAGTTAAAAGTCTTCCGTCCTGCACTGTATTTTCATTTTATACGGAAAATCATGTGAGCGCACCTAACTTGATTTGCGCATATTTTTATGGTAATATATGTTGTGCATATTTGTTTACTTATATATTGTGCATATTTCTTTCTAATATTATTATACCAACTATATATTTTATTCCTACACACGTCTTCCTCGCATGTAAAAGAATAAATGTAAATTTAGTTTCATAAGGTGTATTTAATGAAAGGACATAGTCAGACGGATATTATTATAAACACATAACGTGAATTATTTAAATAGTATCGTGAATTAGTCGTACGAATTCGTCCTGTAAATGAGCTTTGAATACATTGGAAACTGGAGGAATTGAGTGAATACACCTGTCTACTGACTTAATGAATGATGTTTAATCATGACTTATTACTGTAGCTGTCAGTAGCTACTAGTGACAATTTTAGGGCAATTTCACGAGCGAGCTTTCCTGTTACGTTGAAGTTCTTGCCACTCATGGCAAGTATTACTCCTCGTGGGGAGGCACACGGTATCTGAAAACGATATTATGCAGTTAGTTTTGCCTCTCAAAAAAAAAAAAATTCAGAATCATAGCAATAATTGCTTGTAATTTTTTCATTTCGTTACAGAAAGGAATGAAAAACATTTTTTCATATTAAAAAAAACGTTTTTCCATAGATTTGAATTATTCAAAACCAAATACGAGCGATAGATTCTAAAATATTGACTCAAGTTTAGTATTATTTAGTGGAAGAGCACTGACACGTTGTTTCTAATAATCATGGTAGTATAAATAAGTGTTGCTGGCCGGTAAAGCAGCAACACTTGCATTCTTCAAGCAACTCTTACCCGCTTGCATTCTCAGCCAAAAGCTCGGCTTTGAACCTCAGCTGCTCCCACTGACTGGCGGGGTAGCCAACAAAGTCCCAGTACCAAGCGGCCAGATCGCGCACCACCTGCAGAGATTATAACTTCTTCATCAACGTCCTCGGCAATTTATGAGATGTTTTAGGGTCGATTTCAAGCCGTATCGTCTTGATTGCAGGAGAATACTTTAAATTCTTTCAAATTAAATCGGAGTTTAAAGTTGTCCAATACCAATAAAAAGCAAAAATACGAGTAAAAGTAATTATGTTTATTAATGACATAAAACACATTTTCTGATTGGATAGATGATTCAAAGGATTCTCTAGCGTAAATATCGTAAATTTTTTATTTCATTGTTTCAAAAGTAACTTTAGAATTTGTTTCAAGCTTCCATACCTGCCGATTATATAACTTTAGAATCAACTATGCTACCACATAAAGCTATGACTTTAAAAATTTTTAATCGTACAAATAATCGCGTTGATAAATGGTCAGAAATATCTTAATATATGTAAACTTCTTACCTTCGTCCCCGTGATGTAAACAAGTAACGTCATTATAAACTTAATACCTCAAAGACCGGTGAATACGCTACATGGTTCTTGACACAATGGTTCGCCACATGGTTCTTCTCTGAACAATTTAGTGAATTTCGCTTGAAAAGCCCTCGATGATTGGCTAACGAAGTTACAAACTCGTAATTATTTTTGAAAATTGTTCACCTGATCCTCGAAGTTCTGACAGGCGGAAGCACAAGACCCAACCTCGCCGTCGCCAGGATGGATTTGTGTGCACGAGTCTTGCAAGCCGGTCACGTGGTCGGTTATCTGAAGTACGAGAGCTAAATGTGCTGTAATGTTCATTTGGAACGACCATTTATCACGATAATTTAATAATTGTTGCCCTCTAAATGCATTTTGAAATCGAAAAACATAACAAAAAATATTTATTCATTAAATTTTCATTATCAAATGATCACGTATTTTTCTTATTTGTGATATATTGTCGGCTAGCGGAAAGCCAGAATGAAAAATATCTTTCCTCATTTGTAGAGTAAACAATTTTATTAATAAAATACTTAAAAATACTTTTTAAAAAAACACGTTTTTCTTGTGGACTAAAAAGTAGAAAATAAATTATGGCTTTCCCCAAAAACGTGGGTCGGGCAGATTTATGATTAAAGCGAAAAGCACACAACACACGAATTTTGGAAATTTGATGGTAAACGTACAACCCGACCCACGTTTTTGGGGCGAGCCATAATTTATTTTCTACTTTTTAGTCCACAAGAAAAACGTGTTTTTTAAAAAAGTATTTTTAAGTATTTTATTTTCTCCTTTTTAGTCCGTTGCTGCACGGACTAAAAAGCATGACTTGGCGTACGTATCGATGATACGCAGCGTCAGCGCCCGCACGTCATACTATATATATACTATATATATATACTTTACTCGATTAAGCTCATTTAGGTCTCTAATTGCAAGTTTTTATGATTGTATCTGAAATTGTTAGGCGAAAATAGCCTGTATGCCGAATTTCAGATCTCTAGAGCAATCAGAAGTGGGCTAATTTTCGTTGTCAATTTTAACAACAAACAAACAAACGCGAAGCTAAGCTAAGAAAAACGTTTTAAAAAGCACATCTCAGACACTATAAAAATAAAATTATTGACAAATATATTTTCTATAAAATTCACTCAGGTCATTCATATCCTGAAACGCACGATGTATTTATCCGTACTGCCGCCCTCATCGAAGTAGCACTCGATGTTGTCCCGCCTGAACTGGAGCGTCTGGTCGTACAGGGTGCGGGAGTAGGTGATGTAGTGCGCCAGTTCGGTGCTCAGGTCGCGCCACCACAGAGACGGCGCCGTGTCGGGGAACGTGTAGCTCTCGGCTGCGTCCTGTCACCGTGTAGAAGACGATAGTTTTAACGACGATAGTTAATAACAAGATGGTCAAAGATCATGAGATAAGGTACCTACATCCTATCAGCGCGGAGATAGGATAGTTTTGACGACGAAGGATAGGAGATCTGAGACTAAGAGATAAGGCACCTGCATTCTGCCAACTTGAAGAAGAGGAGAGCTGTGACGTGAAAGAATAAAGGAATTGCAGGGTATGAAATATGGTAGCTGTCCTGTACCCTTGAAAAATGGGAAGAAAATCGAATGGAAATTAAATGAAGTTGGAAAGGTAAGAGAAAGTTCAGGTAAAGAATAAAAGAAAAATATAATTGCTCAGGAAAAGTCGAGTGAGGTTTGAAATAATGGAACAAAACATTACGCTCACGAAAGTGGTTTGAGTAGAAGTAAGATTGAAGAGAAAGAGGATGTGAGAATAGAAAATTTGAAGAGAAAATGAGTATTTAAGATAACGAGAATCCAAACGAAGGGAAGATTATTGCATCGTGCATGAGTGCGGTTTCTACTGCGGGTCTCATTTGTGGGGTTAAGTTTTTATGTAGGTAGGATTCCTTACATTAAGTTATTATGTAGGTAGGATTCCTAACATTTCTCTTCTCTGTCTCTCTCGTGCGGGCGGCCGACGACCCGTGTAAGCGACCGCTTGTTCGAGTGTCTTAGTTTCTGTTGCTGTTTACCTTTCCCTCCTTGTCGCTTCGTCTCTTTGAGATGCTAACGCTGATTCTTTCTTGCTAGCTTTAGAGACCTTCTGCCTCTTGTGGGTGATGAACGAATTTCAATTCAAGAATTCGAAATAATTGACGCCTTTCCTCTCGGTTGTGATGTTAAGCCTTGACTTTCGGTGCGAAAAAGCCAAAAGATGGAACACTAGTAAATATGTGTGTGGATGGAAATGATGACAGAAATAAAACCTAAAATATGAAAACATTCGAGCGGTCAAGATTCCAACACGCTTTTAGAAATAAAAATTTATAAGGAAAAGTAATAAAAAATAAAAAAAGAGCACAAATCACAAACGTAATGAAAACAAATCCAAGCTAAAAATGACCATCCAGCGGAGCTTTTGCAAGTAAGTTTCAAGATGAGGCGATCCGTCCAACAAATCGTCGCCTGCAGAGCGCGAACAAACTATTACCTGCAGAACGATGATGTGCATAGACGCGATGTCTACGAAGTAAAGTGTCATGGACCACGGCATCAGAGAAGCTTCCACCAAATACCTATAAAACATACATGCTTGGATTATTCTATATTATATTCAGATAATCACTTGCATTCTTCAAAGTCTGTTGTTGTAATTAAGTTATCATACCTCATTCTGTATCAGAGATATCAAACAACAAATAATGATGTAATACCATACATAAAGTAGAACATTAGTGTGACATTACTGTACAAATGCTTTATAGTTTATACAATAAAACTCACAGTGATAAGGTGTGATTTTTATAATTCATTTCGTTAGCAAATGATGTAGCGTGACATCTTATTTAATGACACCCCTAGTATAAATTTGTGCACTTTACATTGCCACATTTTTATTTATCTATTACTATAATATATCTTATTAATGATATCTTTATTATTATTGCTTGATTTATATTTCAGACACATACCGGTTGCTGATGATTGAGGAGGTAATGGCGTCAGCCTGTACGTTTTTTGTGGGGTAGCTGCCGTCACCCTCGACGGGGGAATTCTCGTATCTCGTGGGTGAATAATTTTACTTTAACCATTTAATAGTAGCAAATAAAATTACCGTAAAATTACCGTTCAACCTCAACAGAAAAGTTCTCGTGGGTAATAGGTGATTAATACGAATTTTCATCATTCTGGAACTCAGAAAAATGTGTCCTAAGTCGCAGTGAAAGAGCTAATATTTTTATCCAAATTAAAAACAGTGATCCGAAATATTCCGCGTTGAGTCGTAAAACGATAAAGCCACTGAAAATAGAGCGCATAAAACTATGCAATTTATGTCAAAAGATATTTAAACTTCTTGAACACCTAGAAATATTTTCAATCGTAAAAATTAAAATATGTTCAAGCATTTTTATATTAGAAAAAATATCATTTTAAAAAATATTCAGAAAATATTTCAATCAAAATGTTTTCTATTACGCAATTACTTGCGTTGAATCAATACTCACATCCTAAGCATGGTCATGAGGTCGTTCTTGTAGACAAGAACTTTGTCGATGTTGTCTTGGTTGACGAAGTTGCCGCACAGGTCGTGCACCTGTTCACAATTTGTGATAACCATGTTTATTCTCATCAACTCGAATTTAATGCTATTTAATTTAATTTTTATTTTATTCTAGTCTACTGGAACGACGTTGAAATCTAGATGATATATCTCTTCAGCCGCGGTACAGGAGTTCATACAATTATATTGATCTAGAATCTAACCTCATTGTTAACCTAACTGAAATAAATCTAACCGTTAGATTTCTTTCAGTTAAAGTAGATACAGTATGTCAAGTTCATATGTCTTCCAGATATGTCAAGTAAAGTAGAGTTGCGAAAACTATACCGACGAGTGTCATATCGAAGACTTTAAAGTTACATATACAGGGTTGTATGTATAGATTATTTCTATTCTAATTACAATTGGAAGCGTGTATATTAACATTAACAATTAATCGTTACGTTTGGTGGAAAAAGTTGGCCAGATTCCAATCCCATTTCTGTCAGAAATTACGAATTGCTGTGAAAATTACAAACGAAAGAAATTTGAAAAGCAAAATAAAATCTTTCTCGAATTGCGTCTGGTAAATTCATTAGGACCGCATAATTTGAAATAACGGGTCGCACAACGCTATCAGCCCACTGCTGTTGTCATGTAATTAGATCGTTTTAAATCTATTTTATTGCACTTTTCATTAGAAACTATAGTATGCTTCTCTTAATCTCGTGAAAAGAAAAAAACTCCGAGTGACAATCCTTCAAAGAGATAATCCTCCATAATGACCTTTGAAATTAAATTTATTCTTAAGGTAACAATAATTTCTCCATTAATTTCTTCCCCCCCCCTATTTCTAGAGCTCCTCCATGACACCTGTTGCTCGATGTGCTCCCAGTAGTCGTCCTCGGGCTTGGGGGTCCAGGCGTAGAGCAACGCGTCCAGCAGCGCCGAGAAGCCAGGGTACGGCAGGGCGCCGGCCAGCCAGTGGCCAACCGTCAGCCCGACCGTCAACACTGCCCCAAATTACGTTAGGTCAGGCTGACGTGCTAGGCCGTAATACAGGCAGCATGACGTAACTTATAAATCAATTTAAGTAAACCAATTAAGCGGATTAATTAGTTTAATTTTACTTGAAAGGATTTAAAGAGGCTAAATACTTTCTTATGCTCTCTACATGTGAGCAATCATCCGAGACAATATCAACAAATAAACGTACAGAAAATATTAATAAAGACAGTAATTTTACAGAAATTCGCAATTTTTATCATTTATATCTGCAATTTAAATCACTTACCAATAGCCCGTATAAAATTCTGATATATATCACAGATACAGGTTATGACTTTCATATCACTCACGAGTGCCATCAATGTCGGGTTCTTCAGGATACGAAGTGACGTATGCGTCGCCCGGACCTGCGACGACCAGCAGACTCAGCAGAGCTGCTGCTGCTGCCCAGCTTCCCTGAATTTTCATTCTCTCTGAGATGTCAAGAAAAATATTCTGTATCAAATAACAGCACCTGTAGGATGAAGTTATTGGAAAGTATATTTATCACCATCAATCTATAGATGATAGGCATAGTAGCAATTGTATCAATAGCTATATAATGACGTATTTTTAAACGCATTTTCGTATTTACGATGAAAGCAAACACGTTACTCAATTGAGCACAAAAAAGTGTGAGAAATCACAATTATTTAAATTTGATCGTCTCTACTGAATCATCTGAAGGTCAGTCTAGCTAAATTTTTTTCAACTTCATCGCATATACCTTTACAAGTTGTTATCACAACGTCGTTTTGACTAGATCTGAGTATCCAAGGGCTCTAGGGTGACCATCTCCTAATATCAGTTCACTACTAGGCAAATTATTTCTCCATTTGATGGACATCTTGGATATAGAACGTCGCATTTGCAGGCATTATCTCGTGCCTGATAATGAAGAACAAACAAGAGACAAGGTATTGATTTCCCAACCATTATTGAAGAAGTTTATATTATTCTTATTACATTTTTTCTTATTTTTCTGCCATTATCCATAAGTTAGTATTATGACTTGAAATTTTGAGCAAGAATTTTAATATTCAATAAATCTGCAACGGTATTGTTCAGTAAAGTGTTTAATTATAATACCACATTCAGACGAAAAGCATTGAATCAACAAGCATGCTTGTTCCACAAATGTCAGGTGACGCTAACCAAATCTCTCGGTCGTTATCTAAGGAGACCGAAGCAGCTTGGATAATTTCTCATGCGCTTTATTGATGCGCATCTTGTCTGGTGTCGCTGATAACTATGGTAGCTGAAACTCGCTGATTCTTGAATCACTAAACACTTATAGATTCTTTTGTGAGGTTCTATACCTGTAGGTTAGTAAAGCTGGAATTTCCATGGTTTTTTCGCAATCTTATAAAAAAAAATTAGGGAATGCGCATAAGTTGATATCAATTGATTAAATAAATCCGTACTTATATATGTGCATTGTTTCGTAGTTATTTTCGGGGCTAAATAATTAATTTCAGTATTTGTTTATTGGAGTGAAAATTTCCATGTAATATCCGCCGGACCGTAACTAAACTAATATTGTAATAATTTACTCACAACAAGTGCAGAAATTCTAACGAACCACTCTATTTTCAAGCGATTTACTGGAAAATGAAGAGAATGAAGACGCTGGTCGCTGCCGTGGTGGTGGGGCTCTGCGTGGCGTTTACGGCCACGGCATCGGCTGTCGTAACTCCACGGGAGCTCATCACCATCGATGGACACCGTAAAATTTTACTTTATAAATATGTTTTAGTCACTGAGTTGGTATGCTGTGAATAAAATTAGTATTTAGAGGCGATGAATAGGGCATCTCTAATCTATTTTTTACAATACGAGTTGTTACCTTATTCTTCAAATGCAAGCCTCAGTTATTCGATCTCCCATTGAACATCTCTGAATTAAATCCTCAAATATTACTGCAACTGTAGTCAAAAACTATTTCAAAATATGAAAAATTTTAGGGCATGGAATACAATTGGAAGAATAATTTGACTCAATTATTTTTATTCGAGCACAGAAAAGACCATTGCGCTGGCCACCGCAGAACAGATGAGCGGAGTTTCAGCTGCCCTGTCCTTCACCGACCTCATCTTATCCATTGTTTTTGCCTTCAATCAAGAGGAATTCGATTACTGGGCTAACGTTGAAGATGAAGTCAGACTTCTTGTAGGCGCTTACATCAACGAACATAACATGAACCAAGTTGAGGCTTTCCAGGCAGACTTGGAGACTCTTCTTTTGAGGTTGGAAGTCAAGCAAGCATGGAAAACTGGACTTACATGTATTGCTATTATTATATTTACCGCCATGTTAAGTGTCGTACATAACAACTTGTACTTTCGGTGTCACTTGTTGTCATAACTCGATGCGTCGATGTTACACGTTACATCGAATTCTGTTTTAGAACATTTACGTGTACTGTCAGTTTAAAGAGTAAACCTGCAATATATGCCTCTTGATTATTGACGTAATCAAGCCATACACCGAGAGTTAGAAAAATTTTACAGGTCCTCGGTGAAACAAAACAAACGTAACCTCATAATAACTCATGGCACCGACGAGAATTTTCAGTTTTCTGTAGAAGTGATATTTTTTATAAATACATGTTGACCGATACAAAATGCCTCTCCTGTAAAGGTAGGTCATCAAGCGCTAGTAATAATTCAGTAAAGATTTCTAGTCTTCTCATAACTACAGTACGCTTTAGAAGAACAATTCTTCGCTAATCTTGAGGTTTCCTTGCCCCGAAAGGTACTTAGACGCGCCGGTGGAAAGCGACACCTACCCTGACAAGAACGAGCAAGCGGCCGCCCTCTCCATGGCGATCATCAGCCACCGCTACCTGGTCATGAGCGGGGACCTTAGGTTCTCTCTTATTCTCCACTTCGAGGACATCGCCAGCATGCATATTGTTGTCCTCAAAGTAAGCAGTGTCTGTCATTTTTGTGAAATAAAATTTAATTATCTCAGTAGCTTTACCTATTTTATCAGAATTATGTTACCTGCAGTACTAAGTATAAAAATTCAGGGACCAAGTCGGCACGCATCCATTGCCTTCGAAATCAGAATGAACCTCTTGCCAATAAAGAAAAATTCATATTGGTTTTATGCAATAGGCCACACCTTTCGGTTTTGAGAATTTTTTTATAATGAACAACGCAGCATGTATTTTGCCGTTTCTAAAGTGAGCAAAATTGATTTATGTTATGCATATTAATTCTCCCTAGGATGCAGCAGAAACTTACAGTACCGAGACAAAACCGTCCCAGTGGTGGCAGGACTTATCTTTCGAGCTCCAAGAATACCTTGACTATTCCGTCGTGGTCACGCAAGAGTTCTACCAGTTCAGAATGGACATGATCACATGTACTGAAGATTTGGACGCTTGCAGGATGAGCGACGGTCCTCAAGGTTCCACCCGAACTTGCTACGACACTTATACGGTAAATAAATTGCATCCATCCTTGAAGGATACGAACTAATAGAAAGGATTTTATTAATGGAAACTTTTATAATAAAGGTTAATATAAAGGTTCATATCCTGCATTTCTCCAATTGAACATCTCTAAATTAAATGCTCAAATATTAAAACGCATATGTAAATCATTATTGCATTTCAAAAATTTAATGCAATTCCAAATTTAAAGTGTTTACGTTCAACCTCGCTTATCTTGAGCATACAACACCAATTCAAACAGATTCAAAGTCTCCAAGTTTCAGCTGTACGTAATAAAATGTACATAGCATGCACGACGATTCCAGAACTAATCAATAACGTCTTGCGACTGTAATTCGTTCGTTGCACAGGTGTATGATGGCATCACGGAGGAAGAATCGACGTGCAAGCAACTAGCAGGATCTACTGACTGTGTCAACCACTGCCAGGTAATTAGTAATTTCTTTATTCTTTATTCACATAGGAGCACACAGAAATTTATAGCAAGAGAATATCGAAAATTTGAATAAAATACAAAATTCTTCCTTGTGAATGCCCTTATAAGCTATAGTCTCAATGACCTAAGCCATAATAGAAAATTATTAAATCTGCACCAGTAGAAAAAATATATAAAGACTAATCGCTGCTAATAAAATAGGGAAATAATCGCGTGGTTCGATTATGTTAATACTTTACGCAATATGTAATATTTATTTCAAGTTTATACTGAATCCTGAGATGTACTTTTTAGTATAAATTGAATACCAATAAGACACGAGTCAACACAATGAAAATATTAATTTATATTGAAATAATTACAAGACATTTCCATGCTGCAGATATACCGACAGCACCGTGAGCTGGAGCTGGACCAATTCTTCTCCTCTAAAGTGTCGCCTGTGACCGCCGAGTGGCAGATCCTCAAACAAATCGCCGACGACATCATTAATTCTGCCAGTGAATTTATTCCTCACTAAAAAATTATCTTTCACTGTAACCGCTAACAAGACAATTCATATGTGGAAATCCATTTTCGTGTGTCCGGAATTTTTTCGATGGAAACTAATTAGTTTTTAGGCCATTTTTCCATACGAGATATTGGATATACCTTTATTCCATACCTTTATGAAACGAATAAAAATTCTAAGTTCGAGGTGAAATTTAAGCTTTGGCGGATAAGATCAGCCTTCTAATAGATGAGGATTTTTCTATTTTAGTAATTTGAATAAACATGTATAATTGAAACTTTTTCTCCGTTAATTTAATTCCTTCCTTCCAAAAATTACGTAAAAATTATTATTTGATCTTCTCCCGCATGTGCGACATTCATAATGACCATGAACAAAGAATATCGTTCATTTATATCAAAATATAAAAAGAAATCAACAAAAAATCATTCGTCCAGATTTTCAGGTTTCATTTTTTGTGATTGGATTGGAAGCTTTAAAATAAAATACGATTAAAAATTACTTTTTAAAGACAACACTTCTAAAGAATCCAGTGTCTCCAATGTTAAAGATGTATAATGAATTTCTCATTTTAGTTTCGAATATTAAAAGAATTAATTTTTCAATTTTTTTAATTTATAATTTTTTTCGAAATTATTAATTCTGTCAATTGATTCATGCATTGCCTTCGACTTCACACAAGTGTGCAAAATTTCAGATCAATTGGACAGGTAAAAGTGTGTCAAATATCAGTTATAAGATTTGTAGCTAACAAAATTATTTTTTTTCAATTTTTTAATGTTAAAAAAAAATTTTAAATCATTTATTTTGTCATTTGATTCTTGCATTGTCTCCAACTTTACGTAAGTTTGCAAAATTTCAGATCGATAGGATAAGTAGAAGTGTGATAAATTTCAATTATAAGATTTGTAGCAGACAGACAGACAGACAGACAAACAAACAAGAAGTGAAGTTAAAGAGAAGTGTTGTAATAATGACAGTGATTGCGGTAAAAAAATTAAGATTTACTTGATCAAAATTGAGATAAGAAACGGAGTTCTATTTAAAGTATTTGAATTTTAAGTCAAGATTTTTAAAGCAGAATACACCAAATCAACCTCAACTGACATACCAAAGAGAACACATTTAACATCAACATTATTAATAATTTTTATCTTGATTGATGGAAGCTGGAAATTGAAACTTTACTTTAGCCGGGAGAACCTAATACACGCCATGTACTTAAAAACATAAATAATTTAATGATCCTAGTCATAGAACACTCTAATTATTGCAATACAGACTCGTAAAGCATTATATATCACTCGTATTAAGAAAAATGAGTTTTCCTTACTTACGATACTGGGATTTGGAATTGGAAATTTGGGGACTATATCAACGAATACATAGTCATGGCACACTTGTTGTCTAGTGTTCAAGGGCACCATTGTGAATTGTAACCGTGAGAGATTGAACAACTTTGTCGAAACTAGCTTGCGGGAACACACACAGCTGACTTTGATAATTCTATCTTGAATTTGCAGCCGAGCTTACGACGTCACACTCGTTTTCTTCATCGTACCATAAGAAACACCACTGAAGTGAGTTGTATTGCAGCTTTTGTTCCAAAATATTATAGTTTGGGACGTAAAATATCCACGAATAAGCAATTCTTTAACGTGTTTAATACAATAACGTTGAGTCTTTTTAGAAGAGGTAGTACAAGGCCACTAGTATTCACCTCATACGACAAATGAACACAGCATAGATTTATTGATCAGCGAGCTGTGATGGCTCATTAGTCACCAAGAATCTTGGAGCACTTAATTACAAATCTATCAACAATTATGATTTTTCTGTTATTTTTTTAGTTTAATTTGACTTAATTTTCTTTTATATTATTATTTTTATTATATTTTATTTTAGTTCATTTCATTTTATTTCATTTTATTGTATTTTATTTTATTAGTTCACTAAAAAGATCGGATAAACTTTTTAAAATATAAAATTATATGCTTCCAACCAAACTTTAGTTCATATTACTGTAATGAAAACATAATTTGCAAGGATGCAAACAGACTAAAATAAATGAAGTTAGCACGCAATATTATTAATCTGTTATTTAATGATATCCCTAAATGAGAATATTTCATTCGTTAAGAGAAGAGAACTCTAGTCATTTCTCTGCAGAAATGGAATTGCGTGCTGTGTTGATTGTAGCAACAATGGCGGCTGTCGCAATGGCCCAGCCTCGCCACCCCCCAGCCAAGGAAATCATCATCGATGGGAAAAGTGAGCTGCTTAGACCTTACGAAACGGAAAAAATTGTTGAAACCCTATTCAAATCTAATCATAGTTACAAATGTAATAAAAAAATATACAAGCAATATAACCATGGTGGAGTTAAATAGGACAACTCGTAGAGTTTACGCAGTTGTAATGTCATTTCACATTTTGTAATGTGTAGTGACATTACTCTGCTGTCTTTACAAAATGTGTTCGGGCTGATATTTATTAGAAAACTGTGAAATAGCATTTGATAACGGCATAATGATATTAAAGTTTGTAATCACAAAACATTGAAAGACTTTAGTATCAGCTAAACATTTCATAAAATTTAACAGTAAGCACTCATAATAAAGCGCTTACGATGAGCACGATTCATCACATCACCAACCACAACCTAACATAGCGACAAATTTACAGACGTGACCATCGCACTCACCGCGACCGCCTACTTCTCGAACGCCATCCAAAAGCCTTTCGTCGAGGTGGGTACATGAGGACAGTCCAGCCTACGAGCTTCGTTCAGTTAACCATATTCCCTAGCGGGGAAATTTTATTTAAGAATATTCATATGAAAATCCTACCTTCCTATTTGATATAAGGGAAATGCTTAGTTTTAAATTGCAATATTATTTTGATGAGGTAATGGACGTAATCACCGGCGTGCTCGCTCCCCCAACCCCCGAAGAAGATATCGACTACTTCAGTCTGATCGAGGAGGACGTGAAGGAGGTGGTGGGTGAGTACATCAATCAGCACAACATGGACCAGATCAACGCGTACAAATACGACCTCGCTGACCTACTCGACAGGTACGTGCCTAAATGCTGATATATATTATATACTATCATGTAGTATGTCAATGCGATAACCGAAAGAAATAAGACCGAGCAGATTTTGCAAAAATGCTGTTTATGTATTTTTGATACAAATTTCCCCAGTTCTTCCTAATTGACTTTTGTAGTACGATCTCGAGCGTAATCTATGATTATAAAGCTTGCATTTTAGTTAAAGATACAATAAAATTATGTGCCCCAGATATGGCCACGCTCCGGTGTCAAGTTCGACTTACCCCGACAAGAACACCGTAGCCAACAGCGTCTCGACCGCCATTGTGGCGAACCGCTTCCTCGTGGAGGCCGTCGAGTGGCCGTACTCCATGATGCTCCACTACGCGGACATCGCCTCCATGCACCTCATGGTGCTCCAGGTGACGCATATATATCCAGGGTTGTCGTAGAAGTATTGAGTTCATTGCGGAATAAGAATGTAGCAAATGTCCACGTATATATTCTAATATGCTCAGATTACTTGATAAAATAATAAGTAAACGAGTTCATTTATATGAAGGTAATCAGTAAATAGCATCATTTCATTAACTTCCGAGTTAAATCAATAAAAAACTTAATAAAAAAATTCAATCAAATATATTTGCTCAATAGTTCAAACTTACTCGTGAGTCACAACAATATAAGATAAACCTGAATTCATCAGGACGTGTCTGAGACGTACACAACCGAGGGCGAGACGCCGTCCCGCTGGTGGATCGACCTGGACAACGAGCTGGCGCATTACATCGAGTACGGCAGGATGCTCGAGGATACCGTCGTCGACTGGCGTAACGACTTGGTCAGTCTTTGTTGGCAGTAGCAAATGGTCTGAGTCAAGACAACATAAAATCCCACAACTATTTCCAGAATTCACGCTTGAATGTCATAATGAAAATGCCCCGATTGGCCAGCATAGGGAGCCAATAGTTACAAATGAACTGTAATGACAATGGTCCGCGAAGTTTTTTGATTTCTTGCTCACGTTCTGTGAGGATTCTTGAATGGTTATTTGACAGTCGTGATGGTGAAAATTTGGCCAAATATAATAGGACTCATTATAGAAATTAAGTTGCATAGGTTGTTGATGCAGATAACATTAATTGAGTTAATGCATGACCACCGTACGGTTCTCTCAGGTCCACTGTTCCTTCGAGGAGTGCGTCAAGAAGGAAGTGAAGTTCACTAAAAAAATCTCCGAAAAACAAAGAATTTCAGGAAAAAAAGACTGCTTCGATGTCTGGACAGTACGTAATCTCAAAGCATTTCAGATGAATATCAAATCATAAGAAATCAATTAGGTCGTGAACCGATCCCGAAGACATAATAGTAGTTCATGTTCAAACATATTATCTTACATCTATACTTTTATCTACTATCTTGAATGACATTGCAAGTAAAGTAAAAGCCATAAAAATTACGAATTCCTTGCAAATAAAAGACCACTCGCCCACGCTAAAAACGTTGATCAATTGCGCAAATATAAGACAACCTGTCATATATTATTTCTTGTGGTCAACAAAGACCTTCAATGGAGTTGTTGCCGGCAGGTGGTGGACGACGTAGCCGAAATACAGGACGACTGCACGGAGCTGCATGGAGACACCAGCTGTGATGATCACTGCCAGGCTTACCAGGTCTTTATTATTTAAATTTTATGGGCATAAAGTTGTATACAACGTTTGTCATGCAGCATAATCATGTAAATACATACATAAATAACTACACCACACGTAAGCGATTCGATTGCTAAAAAGTAAACCCGTGCGCATTATTTGCATTCCGAGATTTTCTGATGCTACATCGTCAAGATTGTTAGGTATTTCTTTTACATTAATTAGGAAAAAATTGGATTAACAGGAATTATATTATATTTTTTAAAATACGTTTCCAGATCAATATGAACCGCGAAGTGTCGGCCTACGTATACAGCTACCTGGGCCGCCCAATTGAGCAGTGGCAGGAGATGAAGGTAAAGAGCTCGGAGATGGCGGCGCTGGCTAGCGGCGGCGGCAACTGAAATCCAGCGGAGGCACAACTGAACTTCAGCGGTGGCGTCGACTGAACTTCAATGGAGGCAGCAACTGAGCTTCATTGGTGGTTGCAACTGAATTTAATGGCGGTGACAATTTAACTTCAGCGGCGGCGGCGGCAACTGAACTTTAGTGGCCGTGGCAACTGAACTTTAGTGGCGTTGGAAACTGAAGTTTGGTGTCCGCCGCAGCTTAACTTTAATGACGGTGGCAATAGAAATCAAGAAACGTTAGCAACTGAACTCAAGTGACAGTGGTAACTTCAGCTGTGATGAAATTTGAACTCAAGTCTGTTGGCAACCGCCGCCGAAGGGCCATAAGAAAAGATGGTAGAACTTTAAATATCTTTATTTTCAACAGACGCAGATATCTTTCAGGGATTTGCAAATTGATGAAAAATGTAGTGATTACATAATTATTTTTCATATTTTTTGTCCAATTCAATATAATTCTGAAATATATATCAATAAAGTTTTGTTAATTTACACATGACTCCTTTTAATCCTCCCGTTGAATTTATGAAATTTTGAATCATTATTCTAGAATGAAATTAGTTTTTTCGGTATAGATACGTAATTGAACATTTAAAAATTAACATTAATTGGGGATTCAAACAGAAAACTTGTGATTTTTATTTACAAAATATATTAAAAAATTACATTGTCTCCATTTTTAATCTGTTAAGCTTTAATTCAATTTCAAAAAGATCATTCTATGATTTAGATCCAAACATGTGCACAGTACAAGTGAAGCGCGTCATTGACATGAGGCTCACGATAATATTATTAGCTATCACTGTATACTTTGGACCCTAAGACGCAACTTTTGAAAATACGAAAACTCTCATTTCCATATCGATCAAAAGAATCTCACTGCCTGGATCCTAAACTCAATTTAATCGTGCGGAATGTGTGGCTCCATTTGAGCACAGGACTAGTGATATTAAGTGCCTGCATGACAAGCGCAAGCTCTCATCGCCCTACATCTGTGTGCAAGCACGCCTCGTTAATATAATGTGTGTCCCATAACCAACCGATGCTAACGAAGCGTATGCTTTAATTATTTACTTGAGTGCAGCAACAAATTATCTCACCGACAAGGGGCTGTTACCGACCAATATATCAATGCCTTTAACAACGAATCAATAGTTATAATTATAATTATGCAAGATGCATTCGAATTAATTAACGAAGTGTTCTGGATTCAGTCTCACTCGCTCTCCGGGAACAGACGCTTCTGAGAGTTCCGGCTGCGACACAAAAGAGAAATTTCGTCAAAAAACTAAATCAAAGCTAAAGTTTGTTACCTATTCGAGCTATTGATGACGTTATTAACTAGGACGTAAAATCTGTTTCATAAACATTTTTTAATACGCTTGTTCTGGACCTTAATTCGTGGTCCGCACTTACGTTTCTTGGCCAACACCTAGTAATGGGACGTAAAATTATAGAGCTATGATATAGCATGTAGTCAACGGACCAGACATCAAATTCATTAATTCTAAGTCTTTATTAATAGTGGTAATTTTCTTTATTGATTCCGGATCTAACTGCAGAATTGTTCATAATTTTGCAATGAAAGTGGTTGATGGTCATGTCAGAGGACATGACGGTTTGTTGGTATACTTTTGCTAGTTCTACTCATTAGCGACGATGCAATCACTACCGCGTAGCTGCAAACAAACTCAGCTTTGCTAGAGATTTTTAATGATTGACAAGGTTACTTCATTAGTGTCATGCAATTAGAACTCCTGGAAATCGTGAGTGAAAAATTGAAAAAAAATTCTGGAAAAGGACATATTGTACCCTTTCCTACGAGGAGTTTTCTTTATAAGAAAATTTTGAAGCCAAGTCGTCTGTGTGTTTAATTTGTAGGCAAAGCATTTACTCGAACGTCAGACATGGAAACGGACTATAAAAGTGCACTATGGCGGCAGTAACTTCGCTATTATAGCCCGAGACTAGGCGAGTACACACGGTATGATGATAATACGCAACCTTAAGACTGTTCATCAAGTCGGCCATTGGGTCATTTGTTAACAGTAGAATAATATACGTTTAAAAATTACTTTTTAAAGACAACACTTCCACAGAATCCAGTATCTCCAATCTTACAGATGTACAATGAATTTCTCATCTAATTTTCGAAAATTAAAAAAATTTACTTTTCAATTTTTTTAATATATATAAATTTTTTAATATATACATTTTTTCAAAATTACTTATTCTGTTAATTGATTCATGCATTGCCTCCGATTTCACACAAGTGTGCAAAATTTCAGATCAATTAGAAAGGTAAAAGTGTGTCAAATATCAGTTATAAGATTTGTAGCTGACAAAATTATTTTTTCAATTTTTTTAATATTGAAGATTTTTTTTTTATTTTTAAAATATTTTATTTTGACATTTGATTCATGCATTGTCTCCAACTTTACACAGGTGTGCAAAATTTCAGATCGATAGGATAAGTAGAAGTGTATTAAATTTCGATTACAAGATTTGTAGCAGACAGACAGACAGACAAACAAGAAGTGAAGGTAAAGAGAAGTGTTATAATTATAAAAGTAGCAGAGCCTCGTCTTGTTGAAACCAGAACATCCTTCACGAGCCATAAACATTTGGATCTTACCATACATGTTAATGTTCAAGAATCATTGTCATTATGGAAAAGACAATTTAAAGATATTTTTATGCCTTTAATTATTAGATTACTTCTTTAACTTTTAAGAAAATCAAAATTTTATTTAAATGGATTGTAGGGGATTCCCAGATCTCAGGTTTCATCTCAGTTTGCGCAACGATGTTTGCGTTTCATCTCAGTTTGCGGTTAAGCTGTCATTATACAACAAAGACTGCGTAGAGGGATAAGTATCAAGAGCAGTTATATTCTTTTAGGAAAATTTCTAAATTTTACAGCAAATACAATAACTACAGAATCACAGGACACAATCTTTACACATTCACTTTACAATACGTTATACGAGTCACAGCTCCTACAGGAGACTTCAATATTGATAGATGAATGGAGTTCGTCTATACCAAAAGAGTCATGTTAATGACATTGAGTAGTAGTTAATAAGAATAACTTCGAAGCAAATAAATTTTCAAAAATATATGCTAATGGCAATTGATAAAGAGTTAATCTTTTACTCATTATCATTATTTGAACAGGGAGCTAAAATCGTCCTAAATTAAAGAAAAATTTCCTCACGTCCTAGAAATGATAAGCTTACTGCCTTTCCTCCGAACGCGTGTTCTCTAACTACAATTTATAATTTATGCATTTAAATTAGTCAATTTACAGGACAATTCAAACAAAGAAAACAATTTCAGAAAATATAATGACGAAAACACGGAAAAAAACTAAGATGAGAACCTGTGTGAATGGAGGGAGGTGCAGCCGTACTGGTGTGACCGTTTGAACAAAAAAAAATACACTAAATAAATACGGTTTGAGAAGCATAAGCAAAGAATGGTCGGCTTCATATGATGGATAAATTGCACCATGGAAGAAATGAGGTATAACAAACAAATGGGGGATCTTAATTATCCTTTACTAATAATACTAAAGTGTCATGGGACTCACATGTTGAGCGTGGGAAACCATGGTCTAAATCCCATCCCGAAATGCTCAGAGAAAGTAGCCCTCAGTAGCTTTTCAAGTAAGCCCTTGCTGGGGCATACTTGAAAATGCTTTACATAGAAATAAATGAAAACTTGAATCAATGGCAATACTTATCATCTATTCGGAGAATACGTACGAAAAAACGATGAGAGGGCTGTAGAAAATGCAGGCTCAAATGCCTCAAAACCTATCAGAGTGGAAAAAACTCCATCGATGAGTATTACTCATGTTTCATTCTACACTTGTAGACAAATAAAATAATATGCATTTAAAAATTACTTTTTAAAGACAACACTTCCAGAGAATCCAGTGGCTCCAATCTTAAAGATGTACCATGAATTTCTCATTTAATTTTCGAATATTGAAAAAATTAATTTTTCAATTTTTTTAATATATAAATTTTTTTGATATATAAATTTTTTCAAAATTATTTATTCTATTAATTGATTCGTGCATTGCCTCTGACTTCACACAAGTGTGCAAAATTTCAGATCAATTAGACAGGTAAAAGTGTGTCAAATATCAGTTATAAGATTTGTAGCTGACAAAATTATTTTTTCAATTTTTTTAATATTAAAAAAAATTTTTTTTTAATTTCTAAAATCATTTATTTTAACATTTGATTCATGCATTGTCTCCAACTTTACACAAGTGGGCAAAATTTCAGATCGATAGGATAAGTAGAAGTGTATTAAATTTTGATTACAAGATTTGTAGCAGACAGACAGACAAACAAGAAGTGAAGTTAAAGAGAAGTGTTGTAAAATAGAATTAAGTTCTATACATTGGATTACGCCTAAATAATACAAAAAATTGCGGTAAAAAATACATTCGTCTTAGGTATCAGTTATTAATTAATTCGGTCATAAACCGAAACTATTTCTGCCTTCTCCAAACTGGAATTATCCCAATTGAATTCTTTAATAAGGTATTTTGTAGCTACAACTAATTAAAATGCAGTATATGTAAATGGATAAGTGAATTATAGGTGAATTAAAGCTATAATAAATAGGCACGTTTGTGAGGGCTCACAGTCATCATGCTCCTGGGCGTCAAGCAGAGCGCACTGGCGTACTTACGCTACTTGAGCTTCGTGGGGAGCTTTGCTTCTCCGAAAATATGGAAGAAAAAGGTGAAGTAGAATTAATGGGTACTTATGACATTTATAATCTTATCTTATAAAGTATCAATATCGCTGCGATTCACTTCCCTTAATTTATTTACTTTTAACTTTTCCATTTTATCCGTCGTAGGTTGCGAAGTATTTTTGTGAAATTTTTTCCATTGTTTTTAGTAGTTCATTAGGAACTAAGATTCCTAGAAGCCGGCAAAATTTTCGACGTAAGACCAGTTACTCACTATAAATTAACTTAACTACTGTCCTCTATCAAACATTCATTACAGATCAAAATTCCGGCTGAAAAGGACAAATTTTTGGCTCTGGGAAACGAAGCAGGAACGCAGCGATGCCCGAATTTTCCGGCTAACTTTGGGTGAGTAAATGTTTGCAGTCTTAGTTTTTAGAAAAAAAATAATTTTGAAATATTTTGGCTTAATGCCTGATATAGAGCTGTAAAATATTAGACATTTAATTTTTTACGATTAGTTTAGTGGTCAAAACTTGTACAGAACTTTGCCCTTACCTGTGAGCTATTGAATAAAAATTTTTCGTATGCACAGCAAACTCTCATGTTTGGGTGGCTGAACAGATGGAAATACAATGAGTGCTTATGATAACAGTACGATGGTGAAAGTGAAATTCTGATAGGATTGATTTTTAAAATATCAGAACATCAAAACGGATGGCGAGCCGGGGAAATCTCTTCCGCATCAAAAAGAACCGAAATGGTTTACGTTGCCTGAACTTCATCTCAGCATATACAATTGGACTCATTGTTTTCATGGCTGTCTACGGTATTTCACGACTAAGAAGTAAGACTACACATGACTTTAATTCAGCATTTCTATTATAATTCACATACTTAGTGTTAATACACAGAGCCGCTTCAAATTCATCAAACCTCATAATCAATCAATATATTTTTCAGAAAAGAATGTATGAACTCGTCTTTAATCTCACTGAAACTTTAGGTCGTAATCCATATGTAAGATAATGAAAGAAATTTTATCTTGTACTTCACATTTGAGTTATCTTCCGTTTGATTGAACGGAGTTAGTTGGCATATGGCCTCGCTATGTAATTATATATACGCGTTGCAGATACTCTGAACATTGGACATGGCCGGTACAGCAAAGTTAACACCAATGATATCGTGATGTTATCCATGGTCATCACCACGCCCATTATGGCAACTTTCACAATGGTTGAGTATCACTTCTGTTTTTTTTCTGTTCCGTTATATTTTATTAAAATTCTAAAGATTTAATCAATAGGCCCAGATCTAAAACCGATGCAAGTTTTATTTCAGGTTAATTGCGGCATTTTTGTACATTTCATTGAATTTTTTTATGTGAATGACCAATTTGAATCTGCAATAAATTTTGATTAGTGTTTAATCTGCAATAAAATTTAATCAATGCTTAATTTTTAGTAAACTTTAATCCTCGCCTAATCTGCAATAAACTTTAATCATATCTTAATCTGCAATAAACTATAACCCTCGCGTAATCTGCAATAAATTTTAACCCTCGCGTAATCTGCAATAAACTTTAATAATTTCTTAATTCTGAAGTTTATCTGATTGAAGTTTATTTTCAACAAACTTCGATCATTGGGATCAGCTGTGTCAGCTGGTGCGGGCTGATGCTATCGTACGTCTGTACGGCCGGATCAGTCGCTTATACCGTCGCCAGCAGCACCCGGAACGTGCAGCCCCTGCGAAAGCGCTCCTCATTCTCGGCGGTGTTATGATCTTCTATCTTGGTAAATACAAAACTGATAATGATAGACAGAATGCGGTCTGAAATTATAGGGCGATGCACTAGAATTGTAGGAACGTATAAGAGATCCCGCTCAAGGGAAAACTGAGAGTCTTGAGTAAAGCTGTTAATATATCTTATTTGATTGCGGCCGTTTTCATCAAGGTTGATCAATCACAAATGTAGATAGAAGACAAGTTGATACCTAATTATGCGGTCGAAAATTTTCTCTTTACTTTCTTCAATTAGGTTTTCAGTTTTTATTTTTACGTGTCTCACCAGCCCTGCCGTTTCAAATACTTGGACCGGGAAGCAACAAAGATCAGAAGGCTCCTCCACTTGAGCCCGGAAGTGCAAGTACGAAATACAAATGATTGCAAGCGTGATCAGTATATAAGTGTCCATTTAGTCTCATACAATCACGTCCCGTAATTCTGTCATCTTAACTAAATCTCAGTTTAGCTTAACTGAACTATTCCTGATGATTGATTGAAATGTATTGAGACTCGAGTTAGCAATCAGTTTCATGTTTCCAACAACTCCTGATGTTAGTTGCAGACGTGCTGTTCTGGCTCATCACAGCTCCAGGCATCACTGCCCCTGCCTTCTTCTACGCCTTCATCCTAACCGTCCTGGCGTCACTCTTTCAAACAGTCGCTCAACAAACGGATCGTCTTCTGGTCTGTTGCATGCTTCATTAACTATCATTATACTGTACATTATGAAGACGTGTAACGATAGTTATTCTAATATATTCTTCAGGTTTTATGCTCCTTAGTTCAGGAATCCATTTTTGAGGCGTTCTGCTTCATTGAAATTATGTCGCGCAGAAACTTTAATGATTAAAAAGCGTACTTTGCAATAATAGGAGTATTCAAAAAGCATCCCTCCCGAATAATTTATTCCTGTTTGACTGTTGTTGTTTCAGACCACGAACACGCATATCTGCTTCCAATACCAGGCATTCTAATTATTAAAATAAAATGTAATTAAAGATTACTAAATTTAATTGCGTGCTGAAAAACATTAAACTTAAAAGCCATATTATCGCCAGAGCACGTTTCAATTTCAGGAGAAGTTCTCCGCCCGAGAAGTTGCCAATATGAATCGAGAAATTTCAAAGCACTCGAGCAAAATCCGTAACCTCGTTCTATGGAGAAAAGAAACGTTCGCATTAGAAGAAGAGATAGCTGAAGAGACGCTCGCATGCCATCGTATGTATGAAAGCCTAGTAAAGCTAACGGATTCGGCCAACTCTGTTTTCTCTCCGATGATCTTCTTCACTTTTATATACTACGGCATGGAGCTTTGCCTCGTCTTGTACGATCTCGTCCTCACAATTCTCTACAGGTGTTGTATCAATTCATTCCAAAAAGATTATTACAGTATATATTCCCTACACGGCTACAAATAACTTTGTGTTCGAATAATAATTAATATCATGTAATAATGAAGATATTTGCTAGCTAATTTTCCAGTGACACAGCATTGGAAGCAAAGTGAACTTCTATAAATAAATAATTTCGTACTTATTCAACTGTCTAACCATGATGGTTTAGATGATTAGCTGCAAATTAAGTATAAAATGAATCTAGAATGAATACGAACTCATTCATAATGCAAGGGACCTGGGCACGGGTTACCGGGGTCTGGCAATGCAGCTGATCTACTGCTTCGTGTTTGCCGGGATTCTGAGCATGCTTAACGAGGCTGGTCAAGACCTGCAGAATCAGGTGAGAAATTCAACACCAAGTGATACAACGATCCGTTTATGATTTAATCAATGAATAAAACCTTTAAAAGTTAACGTCATGTCTAACAAGCTTGTCTTTCGGGATATTCCTCAACCGAGGTCAGTTTGTGGCTAGGGGTTGAAATATTTCAGCTAAGACGGGATATTTCAAAAAGCCCATCCAAATATGAGTAAATCCATACATATGCATCCCTTTATCAAAGAGACACGCATCCCATTCTTAAAAAGACATGGCGGTGCTACATTGAAGATGCTCAACAATTATTTTATTCTATTTTTGGGTCAATTTTTCTATTTATTTTTTGTTTGAAGACAGATCTTGATAGGAAACAATATTATCAGCAATAATAGTAATGCGAGAGGAGCAAAACTCAAATGCCTGCTGCATTAATCAAGATAAGACCCTTGAAAAACATCTCATCCCTGATCTCGACGCAGAGCGAGCTCCACGAAGTGGCCGCCTCGAGCGATAAGCGAGCGCGGGTGAATAGCGACTTCACTATATAGCCAATAAAAATCTTGAGCAAAATTTGTCTAACATAACTCGGTACGCCAGAGCAGGGACATTAAAATTTTCAAATCTCATAGGTACATTAAAATTTTTCTTTTGAAAACTAAGTTCAATGAATTTATAGACTCATGCCATTCTCTTCGACAGGGGGAGAAATTTCCCGAAAGCATGCACAATGTTACGCTGAAATTAAGTTCCAACAACAGGAAAATCTTCAGTTCGCCGTACCGGCAAATTCATCAACCCAGGGGCCACGCATCACACTTTTTCTCCTTCAACCGCCAGTGCACCTCAGCGGTAAGTGGCGACAAGCGAAACTCTTGAATGAAAAATGAACATTTGGGCAAAAAATAGTGAGTATTTAACAATCTGTAATTAGGTGATAAGCTCATCACTAACAGCACTATAACATAATAAACGCGATGCGTTTTAGAAGGTTTACCCACCTATCGTAAAAGTATAATTTGTAAATCGAAAAGAAAAAAAAAATAAAATTTCCGCAAAGTAACAAACTTTTCTCTCCACATTAAAACAATAACTTTTAAACAATAACTGTCTTTGTGTATTCAACAGGTTTCCAGTGGCATTTTCACGTACATTATTATCCTGGTACAGTTCAAGAATAGCGAAGTACCCAAAGAATAGTAGACGAAAAGTCAAAATTTGGGAACGAGTATCGAGCACAAAAATTTTGTTCAAGAACATTGGTCTGGAAAAAAAAGCCTCATTCATGAAAAAGGGTCGAGAACTGAAATCACATAATAAACGAGTGTCGAGCACCAAAATTTCATTAAATACAGTTTCGATTACAAAAACCTCATTATGGAAAAAGGGTCGGGCACCGGAATCTGATTCAAGAACAAGTGTCGGGCACAGAAGTCTCACTGAAGAACAAGAGTGTCTGGCACCGAAGCTTCATTCAAGAACACGTATCGGGCACCGAAGTCTAATTCAAGAACACGTATCGGGCACTGAAGTCTAATTCAAGAACAAGTGTCGGGCACCGGAGTCTCAGTCAAGAACAAGCGTCGGGCACCAAAATCTCATTTAAGATGAGGTATTGAGCACCGAAGTCAAAATGGCACAAGCAACTTAATTGAAAAATAAAATATCACTCACAAATTATCGTAGGGGAGTGAAATAACTAGAAGTCGCCCCAAATTACTGATTCATCAACGAGATACAATTGACGCTTTATGACATGAACCAAACAATTACATCATTTTTCGTCAAACAAAATGTCAGTCAGTACATGAATATAGATACAAAAATATCATTAAAGAAGTTAATCAAATTACACCATTATTGAAAGAACTTCTGTCGCTTCTAATCATATCGAGTTACTATGAAAGTTATTTATTCAAAAATAATAATATTATTTGTCAGGAACAGAAGTCGTTTCAAAAACCGACATCTTAAGTGCCTCCTATACGAACTTTTAAACATTTTTGCAGGGACAAATTCCGCATCGTGAGCATTTTACGGGATGCACTCCAAATTATCAACTTATATATTCAGATGCTCATAATTCGTAACACATAAAAAACACTTCTGTTAATATCGAATACATTATATGTTATAAATTTAATGGATCTGTAGTTTCACCATCTGAACATCAAATTGCATACCAAATAACAAAAACGGTTATTTTTACGCTTTGAAAAAGTTCAAGTTAAATTGAAGCAGGTTAATTATATTAAACATTATGAATTTTTGGCTTTATGAAATGGTATGAGTATGACGTATCAGCTCGTAGATGGCACTCGTATTTTCTTCCATTACTATTCAAAAAATATCTTCGAACCATTCTGCTTCAAGGTCTAAACTTTAAAATGTATTCTGAATTTTATTAAACTATTCAAAAATATTTAATTTTTATTAAATAAATTCCAATCACATTGAGAATACGAAAGTTGCAGCCCCGTAACCAGCCACAGAAAAATTCATGTGAGAATTTCCATTGAAATCTGTTCAGTATTCTGGGATATATATTAGGCTCAAGGCGAATTTCAAGATCAACTGCATGTCCTCCGGCTGTTTTCCATCGCCGCTGAAATAAAAATTATGCAAAAATTTGTGAAATTCAGCATTACTTGGCTCTTGCGATTTCAATGTTGTAATTTAGGGGGCTAAATTTACTTCCAGTGTAAATGAAGAATGAGAATAACTTTGGCTTCATGCAGCTACAAATCGTGTATTTATAATATTTTGTAGATTTACTCCTACTACCTTCAGTGTTAAATGGTCCAGAAATTGAATGAGCCAGTGAGTAAGTAAAGAATTATGCGGCCGAACCAGACGACTGGTGCATGGAACCATGGTTGAACCATTCAACCATGCATGGAACGACAGAGTCTAAAAATCTATATTCAATCAAGCAGATGGACCGGCAGAGACTCGCAAGTGAGTCTCTGCAGAAAGCACAGCCGTCGGCCGCATTGTTAACTTTAAATATCCTTGGAGTTTACGCTCATCCTTATTAATTACGCACATCTTTCTTTTCATCCATAACCTAAAATTAAACTACACTGAGCCTCGAATTAGCATTGATTCGACCATTGAACAACTGTGACCAACTTAATATCATTGCTTTCTGCTCATGCAGTTTGTTGCATGTCATGGCAACAATCACCTACAGTTTGACAAATACATTTCGTAAATAATCTTTCGACAGCCTGAGATAGAATCTCCAAACCGGCAACCATCCTGCACCTGGAACCTAAAATTACCTCCACTCCCTGTACGTATATCGTATGTCACTTCACAGCTGCTACTTGATTCAGCTTTCTCTGACCCAAGTCGCATCGCAATAGGTAGCAGTCATAAAGATATATCGGTCAATAATATGATACGCGTATATCTACTCTATCTCAATTGATTCTTGGATACTGATGCACAGAGCTGAATATTAAAATTTTGTTTGTCGATCAACGTAGGCATCAGAGAAAGGCAAGCGTTTCATAGTAATTTGAGAGTGAAATTTATATGAATCCAATGTAGGCTAATTGAATAATTTCAAATGCATACAGCCCTTTGTACCGCCGCTGGGGCAGTTTTCTCAATTATTTTGGTAGTTACCAAATTTTAATCAGTGAGAATTCTCACGCCCCACTCCTTGTCTATGTGGTCCTAAAATTAATATGAAAAATTACATTTGCCTTTATTTAATCAACACAAAGTACTAGGATATATATAAAGGAATCATAATTAATATTTTCATACAAAAGCAAGAACTTAAAGGTTGAAAGTGAAATGGAATTGAATCAAGGACAAATGAAGAGTACATAAAACGAATATTGACAGTATTGAATTAGAATTTGGTGACGATGAAAAAAATCTCTCTTTAGTGATAGAAATCCGCCCGTGTTTCACAATACAAATAAATAAATTGGTTGCTGACTTAAAACAGCCAATCTTGTGTTATTCCAAATGTGAACTTTGAGAACGTTTCTTTTGGTTTACGAGACGGCGAAGTTAAAAAGCGTCCCAGAGATACGGTGGTACTAAGGGAAGCGAGCAGCAGTAAGCTCTCTTCCAAACAAATGAATGCTGCCAGTCTAATCTTATCTAGACTAAACTCGGTGTGTTCCCAGTAGCACTAGTGCTCGTGCTGAGTCAGATGCCATCTACTAACATTGGTGGATTCATATTTCTGAAATCATCTGGCTTTACAGATGAGAGAATAATGCGATTACTACTTAAAGAGCCAATGAAGAGAGAACGCTATTGGGTCATGTAAAAAAACTGCGTATATCCGCAAAAAGCATCGACAATTTTTTTGACTAAACTTGTCTGAATTTTTATTGTTTATGAGCATAGAGTTACGCGCATAATTGGAAACTGGAAACGTGCTCAAACCAGTGTGATATACGTTCGAACAGTCCCTGTAGATTTGCAGCTCCTGGCTTTTAGACGCTGACTTTGATAGATATGTAATGGATGTTCAATACATATAAAGACATTCTGATTGTATAAAAAAATATTAGACGGCGTTGCGCCTATCGTTAATTTCTGTAATATTGAAATCCAGCAATTCGAAGTCCCGGTTGCAAGATAAAAAATTTATTCTAATTGAAGAAAGCCCTGTACAAACTCGCATTTTACGTGGAATGACAAACCGAATTTAGGTATATAAGCCGAAAAAGCGTTTTCACGGTCTTCTATATGAACGTTTTGTAAAATAATTTATGAATCAAATTTTTAATTGTGCCATCGAGACCAGTTTGATCATGGTTGAATTAATATATTATTAGGTTTAATTAATACATATTAATATATGTATTAATTCAACCATGAGTTTGATTCAGTGAAAAGCGTTTCAATGCTACGTCCAGCCTCTGCTCGCGCTCTGGGTATAAAGTATCACTATTCAGTCTAAATGGCCCATTTGTTTCTCTGAGTGAGCACTTCGAGTCGATGGGTTGTGAGCAGTCGAGTACCATGCAAGCTAATATATCTAGCACCGCACAATGTGGTACGTACACTGCACTCTAAATAAACTAATGTATAACGACATCGCAATACTTATTTCGAAATATATATATATATACCGTATATATTATATAAATCAATAAGATGCACTTTTTCAGTGTACTAATATATCGATAGTATTTCAATCCATGTCCTTATTCACCATACAACTCAATAAATTATAGAAAATGAATTGAGTCCTCGAGTGATCCGTATGAATACATAATTAAACTTTTTATGATCATACTGTAACTTTGGATAATGCTAAATGCAATGTTGCAGTCTCAAGAAAGGTTAAATAAGAAGTCTAAAGCTCAACATAGGTCAACTTATGTTTACTTAAACATGTGAGGTGGAGCTTGTAAAATATTATTATCCGTTCCACTTCCTGTCAAAAACCATGTAAAAATTAAAGAATAATAAAGAATTTGGCCGTGTCTTTGCAAGTCCAGTACCGAATAAAGCAAATATAAGTGAACAGCGAGAGAATAAATGACCCTTAAGCAATTGGTCTATTAAATGAGATGGAGACTGACAATTAGATATAGAAATAGAAATTTAAAAATCCTAGACACGTCTTAGCCACAAAACTCTCCATGGAGGGCAACATCTTTTATAGTCACACCTCAGAAAGCCTGTTGGGAGATGGAAACTTCAAATTGCCCTGACAAATGATTGATAGGAGTTGATAGCATATTAACATAGGTGCTGATCATCCCTGGTAAATATAAATGAACATGCATCCATTTCATATAACTGAACTGTTAACTAAATTAAAAGTAATCAAAAAATAAAAGTTCAAAACAGAAGCAATAGCTACATATGAAAGTCTCACTGGTGATGATTGTTGATGTTCAATATCAACATCTCAATTTGCAATACATACATTGGCAAATTTATTAGTTTTTATGAATGAGATCACATAGTAAATTATCGCACAAACTTCAGAAGAAAACATGAACCACAAGATTGAAGGAACCTGAGCAGCCCTACCTAGCTGAGGGTTGGCACTTATGAGCATCTTTGTAATTCTAGTTTCCTGTAATGTAATTTGTAATTCTATTTCATTTTATGGGACGCAGAAAAAAAAAATTTATACATGCCATGATCCAAATCCATTCTAAGGCCTCAGAAGACAACTCAATGTAGCCAAAATGGAAAAGCTGGAATGAACTTGCAAGATCACAGATAGCATTGTAAGCATTTTTGTAGAAACATTATTTAGAAAGCAAAATGAGAGCATGTTACAAATACATACAACATAACTGATTTAATTTTTTGAACAAAAGATTCTGGAACAAATAGACAAGAGCAGATATGAGCCCATTCATTTAAGCTCTTGGCTGGCAATTGCTTTGATAGGCCCACATATACAACAGCTAAAACATCAGAAAACTTCATTACAAAAGCAATACAAAAGGATTACACATAGGTAGGCAGCTCAATCTTCATTCCATAAAAACATACATTAAAACCAATCAATGCTATCAAATTATTATGAATGGAAAAGATGTAGTCATTACAAATTAAGACAGAGGCCAATGACCTTGAAGATCTACTCTCTTCAAAATTGCTTCACTTATTTTGTCAGAGGCTTTTAATGCAAGACATTAATACAAATCAAATATTTGTTCAAAATAACATGATGAAAAAATTATAGCTTTAAACAATAATTTATTTTCAAATGATGATAGTCTAGAGCAAAATTTTTCTATAAGCAATGAAAAGATGGATGTAAATTACTCCATGGAAGACGAATTATGAAGCTAATGATTAAATTTCTCCAGGGTACACTTTAAATAATTTCCAAAAGTATCAGCTAAAAGATTATTCTCAATATTTTCCAAGTATTCTTTTGCTTCATTAACATCAAGAAGAGCACATAAGGCAAGTCTCAAATGGACATCCCAAATAAAGAGTTTATCATGCCTAGTTTCAGCAAGGACAGGAATATTGTGGTGCTGTAAGAACTCAATGAGTGCTACATATGAACTTTCAGATTTTACAGGAAATTTTAGTTGTCCAATTTGGCCGAGGATTTCAAAAAACATAGTACTAACTTGAGATAATAATTCTTCTGAAACAGACTGATATCCATCAGGAACACTGATGATTAGATCATTTGTGACCCTTTCTTGTAAAAGGCTAGAAGTGTCAGCCATGTCTGTCAAAATCTTCTCTTCTTGCTTAACAGGGTAGTCAATA